GTTTTTCGAAAGTGAAACCGCAGTCTAGATGCGGTTTTTGGAGAAAACAACCCTTTTTTGAAAGAACCCATACTCCTGAAAAAAATGAGGAGTATGGGTTCTTTCGGAAAAGGTTTCTCCCCCCCCCCCCAAAAAAAAACTTTGTCTAGACTGTGGTTTCACTTTTGGAAACCCCTTTTTATGAACAGTGATTGGATGCGAATATGCAGATGAAGCACGGGATATTTAAATCTGCGCTTCATTTGCACTTTCGATCAGGCTCACTTACATTTCTCTTTTGACAGAGGAATTTAGTCCTGACAAGCCCACACTGACAATCTGTTCCATGCCCCTGTACCCAATCCCAGATCATCGTTTTGGTAGTGCACTTCAATAATTCCACCTCCAACAACTTTTAGTTCTACTCTTTAAATTTCAAGGAAGTTGCTCTTCATTTTAAAAGGGTATCCACAGAACTTCAACTTGCTGTAACTAGTAAAATAGGTTGAGGAATAGCTTGGAAGTTAGTCTGTAACAAAACTTAAACAGTCTAGTTTGAAGACTAACAAAACACGTAGATAGTATCATGAGCTCTCGTGGGCACAACCCACTTTAGACGACTGGGAATTAGGGAATGTACCCCAAAGAGGGCTGTAATTTCAGTAGCTCAACACTTTTTTAAAAGAAATGTGCCTGAGTTAATCTACTCTTCCTCCTCCACTTGATGTTTCTTCTCTTCACCCCCTTCATAATTTCTACATTGAATCATTGCTGAGGGTGATACTACTTGTGGGGGAAGGCCTTATCAAAAGATTGTTTCGTTTGGGTTTGAACACAGTTATGGGTGGGATCAGTCAAATCACCTCTGCCAGAGTGTTCTTTTGCTGGTGGCTACTGCTGCACATGCTGTTTCATGCTCTGAGAGATTGGTCACAGATCAGTTAGCTATACTCAAGAAACACTGCAACCTGTCTTTCTGGTTTGTGAATGTGTATGAAGCCATTGGGAGTTTTAGTCCATTACTAATCTTACAGGTTAGGCTCACTGTCTGTTGTAGACATCATAGGTTCCATGACTCTGACAGCTGTAGCAGCTTAGTCCTGGAGGCCGCCAGAGCAGCTTTGGCAACCCCAGGCAAGGTGCACCAGCCACTTCTGGGGCAGTGTTGAGCCCCACCCTCCCCATCTCTCAGCAGGAGGAGTTTGGGCACGGCATGCGGGGTGATGCTTTTATCTGGGGCGGTGGGAAGACAGCTACTACTTCTGCTTCCATCTGCAGACAGTGGTCTTACAGCTCCCATTGGCTTCCACTGGGAGCTGTAGAACCAGGGGTTGGAGTGTAGTGGAGGCAGCATATGGAGCTAGGAGCTGTAGGTCACCTGCCCCAGCCTTCCACCTCCAAGCATCTCTGGTATCCCTTTGGGTTGCACACCCTTCCCCCGAGCATTCGTGATATCCCGTAGGCCACCTCCACCCCCCAACTCCTGCAGAGCCCCCTTCCAAGTTTTAGTCAGGGGTATATAGTAAAAATCATGGACAGGATTCCCGTTTTTGTATACTGCCTATGACTTGTCCATGACTTTTACTAAAGATACCCAGGTCTAAAATGTAGCCTTACTTATAGGCAGTCAATGGAGCTTGTAAAGGACCAGGTGATGTTCACTCCTGCCTTTGTAGATCAATAAATATAATTGATAAATTTGAGTCAGTGACCGTTTCATTCAGTCCTCTCTTTAAGAAGAATAGAGTTAAACAACTGAAAATGGAACAAATAATTCAATTCTCACTGCTTCTGTGCATTGATGAAGTCCAACTGGAGTCTGAGACTTGCTGGTTCAGTGGTCAGATGTCCTCAGTTGACAGCAAGATCAGAGTTGTAGCAGGTCTCTAGAATTTGTGTTTAGCTACAATAGTTCCCTTAATAGAAAAAAAAAAAAGATATTCCAATGTTACAGGTTAGATGTCCCCCCAAAAAAGAGAACCCCCACAATATCACATTGTCAGGAAGGAGTTTTTTTTGGTTGTGTAAACAAGCCCTACGAAACAAGATGCATATAGCCATAATATCGACTACAGTGGTGTAATTTCTAAAGTACACTAAATGTGTTGAATATTAGTTGTAGGGATGTCAACATGTGAACTAACCAATAATCCTAGGCTTATCATGTAATCGGTTAATCCTGTCGACTACACACATCCCGCCCCTTGCTGTCTCTGTATCAGAGGCAGCAAGGGAGGGGGAGGCAGGAGCTGGTGACCCCCACCCCCACTAGGGATGCTAAATTTAGATTAGTCAATTACTCAAATAGTCTATGCAATTTGCATTGACTATTCAATTAGTCAATAGGGCGCCTCCACCTCTGAAGTGTAGCAACAGCCCTAGGGCTGTTGCTATACTTCAGACGAAAACGCTGCAAGGAGCAGAGGCCAGTTTCAAGTAGTACTTCCTTTTGTTTGTTTTAAATCTGTACCTGCTAATTTCATTTAGTGACCCCTTAGTTCTTGTGTTATGGGAACAGGTAAAGATCTCTTCTTTATTCACTTTCTCCACACTGATCATGATTTTATAGACCTCTATCATATCTCCTCCTTAGTCATCTCTTTTCCAAGCTGAAAACTTCCAGTTTTATTAATCTCTCCTCATATGGCAGCAGTTTTGAAAGCTTCAGAATTGCTGAAAAAATAAATCCCCAAAGTGAAATTAATAAACCTTGAAAAGCAGAAGCCCTATAAATAACACACATGCAAAACAATAGTTGTCTACAACTCCTACAGGTTTAGCTCTGTGGTTCCACCCAACCCGTCCCTCTTACTCATTACTACATTTCACATCTGCTGCACAACATCACAGGTTGCCATAGCACAGGGGATGTTAGCAAGGTATCAGAGAACAGGGGATAGGCAGGCCTACAGGTATTCCACAACGGCCTGTGTTACAGAAATAGAAGAGAATAACAGTTTGCCTGTTCCTCTGCATCAGATCTGAAATTGCCCACTTGGTTTTCAAAACTGTGGATTGCTTCCCCCTTCCATTGGGATTGCAAATCTAGCCACACATCTGTGGACTCACTTTGGTATTATAATACAGGCCTCTTTTCTTTTTGTGTTTCACTATGGCTCTGATTACGGATGTAATAATGTAGGACCATGTTTCTCATCCTTTTTTTATAAAGTACCCCCAGGACCTACAATTTTCAGACAAAATTTCTCTCCACCGTTGCAACACATTTGTTTAAACAACTGAATCGTAGCTGGGCGGCAATGAAATTTTTGGATGTAAAAAGTACAAAAATAATAAAGCACTGTAAAACTTTAAACAAATTCAGTTTTCTCCAAGTTTGTTGTCGATATACCCCCCAGATTTCTCGCGAATACCCCTAAGGATACTCGTACCACTGGTTGAGAAACACTGGTGTAGTAGATTAACTGATAAGCAAAAGCTTATCCATAGGTTAATGCTATAGACTACATGCATTTCTCCCCCCCGCTAGTAAGTTTTTAGCAGGCTGGCCAGCAGTTTGAGTCCTGGCTTGCGATGGGTCTGGGGCCTGTACCCACTGCAGCTCTTCATTTAAAGTGTTATTAGGAGGTAGGTGGACAGGCAGCCCGTCTGAGTTCCAGCTCACACTGGGTCCAGGAGCTCAGACACCCCACCCCCCCAAACAGGTGCTGCTGCCACCCCTATCTCAGAGATGGCAGTGTGGGGTGACGGACAGCCAGTCCACAGGGGGCAGCTGGTTTTTCAGCTAGCTCCCCTCAAGCACCAGCTCCTGCCTGATAACAGACAGCAGCCCGGAGTGGCAGGGGACTCCTCTGGAGTAGGGGTGAAGCACACTGGCTGCTAGCCCTGTCCCCGAGGACTATAGTATAGTCAAATAACTGATAAGAATTCATGAGGTTACTTGACTATTCGATTAACCAATATTGAACATCCCTAGCTCTGATAAGGGTTTCCACTTGCAAAGCTCAGTCTGTTTAAAACTGTTTACTGCTGCTATTCCAAATTCATTCTATGCTCTTAAAAAAAAATACCATGTATTAGGGACCCAGGATGATAAAATTATGTTCTTGTTTAGGCACCAAGCATTAATATCTATGACATCATAAAGTGACTAAAATATGTATTTGAAAACTGCGAATGGATATTGATAGTGGTCACTTTGATTAACTTTGAATATTAAATGTCAGATCTCACACAGGCTGAATGCCCATTTTAAATCCAAACTAAATACTAACTATGCTAATGAAAGTATAATTAATATTTAAGTCTATTTAATAGCAAATTGGACTGATTCTTCCAATTGCAGAGTGATTTGCTGCAAAACTAAATTCATTTGCTTTACATTTTTATTACCTTTTATTAAATGTTCCCTCATGTTCTTTTCATTTTAAATAGAAGCCACTGGTACTACTTTGTGTGTCTTTGTGGGAGAGGACCTGAGATGGGAGTTTCATAGCTCCATATTATTCAAGCATATGTTCCTGTAACTGCAGATGACTGGAGATATTTGGTTGAGGTTTTTTTGTCTTGGTACCAACTCACCTGATCTTAACCAAAGGTGAACTTTGAAGTTTCATCATAAAAAGGAAAAGTTAAACTATGACTAATATGGGCAGAGCTGGGCACCCACTAAGTATGTAGAGGGATACAGGAGGACAGGCTGGGAAGTTTTTAAACCGATGTTCCTGTGATACTTGTTTGAAAACTAGTATACCTCACAGTTGAAGAGTATACCATATGTTGGTTTTCATTGCCTTATGTCTCTTCTTTCTGCTGGTCTCTGTTGGTTTCTGCATGAACAGGGCTAGTACAGGAAGCCTAGCACCAACAGGAAATGATAATCATTCTTTTGTTTGATAATTATAGTGTTCAGTGCTTTATGTCACCATTAAAATTAACTCAGGATTTATAATAGCTTTTGCAAACAGGTATTCATCTATCAATTATGAATTATTTCCATCTAGTACTTGAAAAAGTATGTGTTCTTCAGCATTACTACATGGATTGCAATTCTTTTGGGCATGGCCTCTTGCATTCCAAGTACATTACACATTGTTAAGCCTGTCTTTGTCATTACTCCAGGAATAAATGTTTCCTTCTTCAGTACCAGTCACAGCATATTATTGGAAATTAGTGAAGTATCTGTAAAGGAAGCTGACTCCTTTCTCAAAAGTACACTGCTTAACAATAAAGAGAGAGCTTCCTTCATCTCATTTGAAGCTTTGTGTGGTCAAACATATTAAAATGGCTAATGATACCAAAATATACTCTTAGGAATACAATTACTGCATGCTGATTCAGCACTGTGTAGGGGAGGGGACTAGTACAGATTAATTTGCAGAGCTGTAAAATCTTAACTCAGGCTATAGTACTCTGTTTTGCAATTCCTTTATACTAAATAAGGCTGTAGAGGTGGGTAATTAGCCAATCATGTAATCACTACAATGTGTCAACTACACAATTAGTTGATAAGGGAAAGTGCACAGTCCCAGCTCTCACAGGGTCCAGCTACCCCTGCTGTGGCTCTGCTGTTTAAATGTAGTAGAAGTTAGGCACCGCAGGCAGCCCAGGTGTGAGAGTCGGGTCAGAGCAAGCCCAGCTCAGTCCTGCTCTAGGGATGTTAAATTTAGATCAATGGGCTTATCGATAAAGGCATCTTCCCTTTTGAAGTGTAGCCCCAGGGCTGTTGCTAGGCTTCCAAGGTGAAAGCACTGTGCAAGTGGGGGACTCAAGCAGTCCCCCACTAGCCCTGTGCTCCCCACAACATTTCAAAACAGCTGCGCTGCATGAAGTCCAGGGTCATCGGGGAAGTCTCCAGCTGACCCTGGGCTCCACATGGCGCTACTGCGTTTAAGCATCCCTTCCTCTTCCTCCATTTGCTTATAAGTCAACTTTCACATCCCTACCTGCTGCAGCTTTGCATTTAGTAACTATAGTTAAATGCAGAGCCACAGTGGACCCAGCTTATCGGGTAGCTGACTATTTGACTACATCCCTAATACTAAAAGGACAAAGCTTGAGACAAAACAGGAAAAGTCATCTTAGTACTTTATCCCAGTGTGCTGTTTTTAACTAACATATGGACCCTTTCCTTTAAAACAGAACCTTCTGAAAATGAATAATTTTCAGCTATCATACTGTAAATTGGTTTAGAGAAAAGGCACACAATTTGTTACCTTTAAAAATGGGGTGACTAAAGTACCTTTGAAGGAAAGTATTTGTGGAGCTCTACGAAATATTTATTCTTCACTAATCCAAAACTGTGCTAGGATGCTTATGCTGTGATGAAACTTTGGATAGCTGATTACATTGAAAAAATATTAAAGAAATTAATGTTAAAGCCATGCATTAAAATTTAGGAAATACCAAAGTTAAGGCTGCCCATGCAATTTTAATTTAGTTTCCTTCTGTATATGTACGGTTGCCACAGTCTTCAGTTACATGATGTATTTTTCTCCTCTGCAGTTGAACCTGTCTCCTTCTCCATGTTGTCTGGGCACTAGCAGGAGCAGTGAGAGTGCAGGTGGGACAGTGTTAATACTCCCTGTTCCAGTGCTTGGTGTCATCCTGGCCCCCAGCATCCAGGAGCAGCAATTGCAGTGCCCGAGAAGGATATTCTCTGTGGTTCTGAGATGGGGCATGCTCAGTCATATTATAGGGATTGGTACTTTTTAGCAGGGGTGGGCAATAATTTTTGGTCCCCTTTATAGCAAGGGTAGGACCTAATCCTGAAGGGGCAGGGCCAGAATGCTTCTGGGCTTCCCCACCCCCAGACCATAATTGATCTGGGGGTGGAGGGAGCCCCTTTGCCCCCCTCCCTTCCCACTAGGCACTCATGCCCCTAGTAGGGTGGGAAGAGGCTTCACACGCTCCCCATGATGGGCCTGGGGGCGGGGGAAGCACAGGAAGCCTCCTCCCACCCTGTGAGGAGCATGTGGCACTTTGAACTGCTGCATACTCATCGCAGGGCCGGGACAGGGCAAAGGAAGCTTCGCAAAGCTCCCCCTCCCCCAGGCTCTGATGGGCGGCCCTGCCACTCCCCTGCCTCCAGGCCAATCAGAGCTTGGGGAGGATGTGATGTCTCCTCCCACCCTAATTGGCCTGGGGCCGAGGGAGCAGCAGGCCAGATCAACCCGCTTGGAGGGCTGGATCTGGCCCACAGATGCTTTTTTGCCCACCCCTGCTTTATAGAGTGTCTGCATTGTGCGGTTAGCATGCAGCTCCTGTGAAAGAATGGAGTGTTCTCATTGTAGCTAAAAATCTTCAGGGAATTTAACTACCGAATTCTAACAAGTATCTGCTGAGCATTTGTGAACTGAAGTTTTTCTTTTCCAAAGGCTTATCACTTGGCAAAATTTGGTCAACTCTTCACAAGGTTAGCAAAAGTCTTCCAGGACTGCAGGGGAGCCCCCTGCTAAATTTTGAGTACCTGCTTCAAAAGTTTAAAGGCTCTAGAGCTTCTTAATGAAATGGTTAATAGTAATTAATAATAGAAACTTGTATTTAATATTGTTTCCCTTATCTTATTTTTCAAAATGACTGAATTCTTATAGTTTTGAAACTTTCCCAAAAGAGTCTTAGACACACATTCTGCATGGAAATCTTCAGATTTATCAGTTTGTCTGGCAAAGTTGTAAGCATTTATTTGAAAGTTAGGTATCATAATGTGATGTTTCAGGCAAATTTGACCATCAGAGGCACTGCCTTGCCTATATCACCTATAATTAGTTTAGAATTTTTTAAACTGTATTTGAGACCAAATTTTGTATTCCCTGTACCAAGGTGAAAAGTTAAGTTATAGTAGAATGAAGATAAACTGCTTCTCCAGAAATCTAGGTTGTCATTGAATAAAATAAATATCAGATGTTCCATGTTAAGAAAATAAGAGTGAGTCCTGGTTCCAGAGTATGGTGAAGCTATTGTTGACTTAAGTTTGGTCAGGGCCAGGCCTGAAAGGCTAAAATGGTGAAGCTATTGTTGACTTAAGTTTGGTCAGGACCAGGCCTGAAAGGCTTTAGTTAATCCAGACATGTTAACTAGATGAATTGTTAGGTGTGCCCTTTCTCCAATCATTTTATGCTGCAGTAGATATTTGCATAATTAACACCACAAGTACATAATTAAAACATGTATATTTAAATCTCAGTTTCATAGGAACAATTGTTTAATTTCATATTAGTATTGTGGCAGTAAAGAAAGATCTTGGGGGAGAGACTGGGTTTAAGAACAGCCCTTCATGTGAGACAGATGTATGTGCATAATACTTTTAATGCATTTTGGTGAAGAGCATTTATTGAACAGATGTTCAATCTGAAGTTCACCACTTGGGCTGGCAAGGATCACAAGTAACCTCCTTATAAGAAACTCTTAGGCTGTGTCTAGACTGGCAAGTTTTTCCCAGAAAAAACTTGCCAGCTGTCTACACTGGCCACTTGAATTTCCGGAAAAGCACTGACTATCTCATGTAAGATCATCAGTGCTTTTCTGGAAATACTATGCTGCTCCCGTTTGGGCAAAAGTCTTTTTCCGAAAGACTTTTGCGTAAAAGGGCCAGTGTAAACAGCACAGTAGTGTTTTCTGCAAAAAAGCCCCGATCGCGAAAATGGCGATCAGAGCTCTTTTGCGGAAAACTGCATCTAGATTGGCCACGGACGCTTTTCCGCAAAAAGTGCTTTTGCGGAAAAGCATCCTGCCAATCTAGACATGCTTTTCCGAAAATGCTTTTAACGTAAAACTTTTCTGTTAAAAGCATTTTCAAAAAATCATGCCAGTGTAGACGTAGCCCTAGAGCTTTCATGGTGGAGTTGAAATGGCTACCGTCCCTTTCCAAGCATGTTAAAATCCTGTTCTTAGAGTCTGTACTGAGAGGGCTTTTTTTGGTTGCTTTGTTTTCATGTATGGGATTGGGATGGTCCAGGAAGCAAAGGAGCTTTGGATTTGGCACAGAAAACTTTTGCCAGAAGTAGAGGAGAGGCATTGGTACCACTCCAAGTCTCACTTCTAAGAGGTTAGAAGTAGCAATTCTAGAAGGGAATCAGCATTGAAGACTTGAGTGAACAGTTAAATGCCAGGGTTGAATATTTGTTTCTGGGGCTGCCTGATGCCAAGGGAAACAGTGTTCCTCAGTGAGGCAACTAATTTCTGTTCCACACTTCATTCCAAAGAGAATACAAGTGGAACATTGTGTCTACTGCTCCCTGTCTCGGGCTGTTTTCTGTTCACCCAAGAGGGAACTCGCTGCCAGATCCCCCCTTGTCTCTGTGATGAGTTGGAATTCAGGTCTAAGGGATCTGCAAGTCATCCCCCTGAAGCCTTTCTACTACTACAACTTATAACTAGGGATGTAAAAGCAGAGTAGTTTAGTTGATAACACAAGTTTCCCCAGCTCTCCCTCTCCCTGTCTCGGGCTGTTTTCTGTTCACCCAAGAGGGAACTCGCTGCCAGATCCCCCCTTGTCTCTGTGATGAGTTGGAATTCAGGTCTAAGGGATCTGCAAGTCATCCCCCTGAAGCCTTTCTACTACTACAACTTATAACTAGGGATGTAAAAGCAGAGTAGTTTAGTTGATAACACAAGTTTCCCCAGCTCTCCCTGCTGCCTATATATGAGAGGCAGGAGGGTGGGGGAGCAGGAGCCAGTGCTGGG